ATCTGGAAATTTTATTTCATTTAAATTGCAACTTTTTCGTTGCAAAATGCTACTTGGGCGGGGAATTGTTTCCTATTCAAAACAAAAGGTAGGTTTGTTTCTTCTTTTGTGTTAAGTGTCATTTTTGGTAGTGCAACTATTATTCCTTTATTTTCTCTTGTTAAAATTGAGCAATGCAAAATGTATTTGTTTATTTTTAAGACAATTAATCTTGTCCCATTGCACAATCCATCCTCCATACAAATGTTGCATAGTAACATAACCACTGCTCCTTCTTTTAACTTTAAATTTTGACTTGGCATTCCTGAAGGGTTCAATGAAGCTAAGTATTCTGGTTGATATCTTAGAGTTAACTCGTTTTGGTCCGTTAGGTCTCCGTCCACTGCAGTTGCCCAACTGAATCCTTCACTCACAATTGTTTCTCCTTCCATTTTTGAAAGTACTTCTTCATTCAATCTGTCAACTTCACAATTTCTGGATGCAAGAAGTATTGACGTTTTTAATGTTTCTTCGTTATATTCTTTAAAAATGCTATCAACAATGTTTTCATTACATATCATTTCTGATGGAAATTCAACTATTTCTTTCTTTCCATTTCCGATTGCTAGCAGCCATTTACTGAATTCTTCGTTGTTTGCTCTCATATTTTTTTTCAAGTGGAAGATTTTGAAATGTTTCCATTAAGGAGAGCTTATTAAAGCTGATTTGACTATTTGATTTCTGCTTCCTTTCTTGAGGTGAACCGAGAGGTGAAAAAAACTCAGCTGTTTTTCATCACATGATAATGAAGTAATGCAACTGATAATGAAAAATAAGTCGCAAAGATAGGAGAGGGGAATTGTAATGAAATACATACAATTATTAATAATCAAAAATTAAATCAATACTATTTCGAACAGTAGAGAAAAAAGAAGATTTATAATTACCGAACCGAGAGGTGAAACCGAATGGCGAAAAAATACTCAGCTGTTTTTCATCACATAATAATGAAGTAATGCAACTGATAATGAAAAATAAGTCGCAAAGATAGGAGTGGGGAATTGTAATGAAATACATAAAATTATTAGTAATCAAAAATTAAATGAATATTATTTCGAACAGTAGAGAAAAAAGAAGATTCATAATTATATGTAAAAATGGGGAAATTTGGGGGAATTTGGAATCGATACATGCGGTTATCGAAACATGCGATTATCGATACATGCGATTATCAGTTTGATGTGTTTGATTTGTTTGATTGTGTTTTATGATGTGTTTGTTATGTTTGATTGTGTTTCATAATGTGTTTGTTGTGTTTGTTGTGTTTAATGTGTTTAATGTATTTCATGTGTTTCATGATGTGTTTGCTGTGTTGCATGATGTCTTTGCTGTGTTTCATGATGTGTTTGTTGTGTTTTAAGTGTTTCATGATGTGTTTGATGTGTTTGCTGTGTTTCATGATGCATTTGATGTGTTTTATCCCGGTTTCTTAACACAGTTACATCCAGTTTTATCCATGACTATACTGTATAGGTGAAATTACTGCATCCCTGGTAAAAATGGCAAGTGTTAGGTCAGTGAATTTTCCACTGAGGTCAGTGCAA